CCCCAAAACCCCAAAACCCCAAAACCCCATCAAATCATATTCTATTGTGTATTATATTCAGTGTTTAGTCATATTAAATAAAATGGGAAGAGTAAAGCATTACACTGCAGGCTAAAAAAAGAATAAAAAGTCTAAGAAGGAAAGAAAGCAAAAGCGTGCCACTTCAGAGCAAGAAGGGGGAATGATTTTAGATGAGGAAGATGCTTCAAAGCCAAGTGAAGCTGCTTTGTCTGTGGGTAAAAAAAGACAAATGTTCAAGAAAGAGAAGGCAAAGGCTATAAAAGCTAAAATACAAGAACTGAAAATGCAGTCGAAGAAACTCAAGAAGAAGAAGTTAGATGAGAAGGCAGAGAAGAAAAAGATTGCTAAGGAAATACACAGGCTGAAGGCCTCCCTTAAGGCTTGCGAAGAGATTAAGAAACAGAGTGGCAAGGACCGCGACGATAGCGATTCAGATAAAGATGAGAAAATGGATTGAATACTAAATGAATCATTTGTAGAAGTGAGGAACATTATTTATTCTTGACACTTAATTAGAATATGAGAGATTTAATGAGTTAATAACATATCGTTACTAATATATGAATTATAAATATCACTGAATGCATAGAGAATCATCGATATAAGTAGCCATTACGAATTCCTCTTCCCATTCAGATATTATATGGATAAGCTTTCAAGACTTATATTTGCATATTTTTTCAGTTTTTAATCATTGGCAGAGACACATCTAGTTAGCCCAGGCCGCTCTCTGCTCTGTTATTAGGGTTATACTATCCGTTTATATGAATATTATTGTTGCCATTTGCAATAGGCCTTTGCAGATTCCTGGGTGGCTTCTTTGCTGTTCTCTCGACTGCATAGGCGTCGTCATTATACTCCCCTGGATCCTACTCGTCCTCTTCGTATTCTTCAAAGTACTCCTGCTGATCATCTTCATAGTTGTTGTTATTTTTATAGTTGCTACTTCCGCTTTCATCACCTTAATGATCCTGAGCTTCCCCGCCTATGATACTGATAGTATTTCTGTTGTTGGCACTAGAATTATGGCTGTGGTTATTGTTAATATAGTCAGCTGAAACATTCATTCGCTCTCTCTGAGAGTTAGAGGCATCTGTCCCTCCAGTAATGCGCTTTTACTTCTTTTATGAAACTGAGTATTTATCTGGGCTCTTAGGGGGTTTTGTAAAAGATTATGCTTGTTCAAGGTCTCTCTTGACTCTGAGTGAGTTATTCGTACTTGGTTGGGAAGATTAATCCCTGTACTACTGCATAGGTTCATTTGGCAAGCTCTCGCTTCCCCTGGTATTGCTATTCTGATAGTAGTTTTAGTCATTAGTTTATCTAGGAGGCATACTCATCTGCTTCTGATTTAGGAATTTGTGATTGGAAGTTGTAGAACCTATTTGTGGTGACTTAGTTTTAGTGTCTTCTTATGTATTTGAATGCAAAAATTGATGATGCAAGTTGTAGTTACTTTGATTGCTCACATCTTATGTATTATTACCATTGAAAGTGGTCTAAGAAACACCGCTTATACCAATAGAGTTTCTTTGTCTATCATAGGCAGTCAAATTCATGCCACTTACTTGATTGAATTTAGTAGCGCTGCCGTTAGTTATATTAGTGTGCTTAGTTGTTTGAACATGATTCACTCTTGACTTAATATACTATTGTGATAGCTACTGCTGTTATTAGTAAGCATTTGCTAAACTTTTCACTGTCCTTATTTTATATTCTTAATGTCTGTCACTAGCAGACATATTGTTCTAGTTTTCACTTAGCTATGACTACATTCCAATTATCGTGTTCTTTCCTCCTCTATTAACCTGCTTCTAAAAATTGATCTGTTCAAGCTTCTTCTTTTTATTGGTACTTGCTTGGCTCTGTATCTTTTCAACTTAAGTATCTGAATTTGTTTGCTCAGCTGTGTTAATAGCACATCTTACTGGTTCATAGTCATCATTGAACTCATTGTTCAAGGTTGCTTTCGGCAATAACCCTGCTTGAGATTTGTTTATAAGGTCCTTGGCCTGATGAAAGTTTTGTCTTGTAGCCTGAAACTATTGCCAGTTCATGCTTGTTTACTCGAGGTGCTTAACTCTGTTTTCCAGAACCTTCTTCTCTCTCACAAGTTTTGATACATCCACAAAGGAATCCTTGCCGGTATACTCCTCAAGAATCTAAACTCTATCTCTTAGGTCTTCATTCTCATTTTGAAGCATGAAGATGTCTGCATTCAAGCCATCAATTATTTCACTCTGCTTTTAGATTGTTTCTCTAAGATTTAGATTACTTTGCAAGACTTCCTTCATCATATTCACTGTATGAATAATTCTTTCAGTAATAGCATCTTTACTCTCATTTGCAGCACTTGGCAAGTTAGGCATCGGTTTGTTCATGTTAGCTATATTCTAGAGTGTTTCACTTTTATCTTTGAAAAACTTCTCAATATTGTCTTTGTCCTTTATGATTCTTTCCGTTATAATAGTTCTTCGCTCAGAACTATCTCTTCTTTTCTCGGTTACAGCTGATGATGCTGATCCTTATCTAGTCCGATCTTACATGCTTTACCTTAACTCGGTTGGTGATTGAATAGTCAAAGCAGGCATTTACACATTCCCAAGATTATTTTTAATAGTTTGGGGGTTATTGCCTGTAATCTAACTTAGAAATTGAATAGTATCGTTTGCTTTAGCTAACTCTTCATTCAACAGTTTATTCTCTTTTTTTAACTCATCAATCAATCTCATTTTAGGATCGTCATTCCTCATTGGCTTATTAGAAATGTAGGATGCTTTCCCAGCATATTATAGTGTATTGATGTTTTCTTCTATGTATTGATCACATGGATTCAAGCATGCAACCATTAGACAAAAGCTATTACCTCCTAAACTTTGCCTTAAAATAGAAGTAAGCTTTGATTCTCTATATGGTACGTAACCATTACTGTTTCCTTGATTTTTCTTTTCAGTTAGTGCTGTAATTACCTATCTCAGAGTGAATAAACTCTTATTGATATCAATAGATTCTTTATTAGCAACATTTCCTGTGAAAGCTTGGCGTTCACTTCCAGCCAAATCTACTAGCTGCAGTTTACTCATAACTACATTGTCTGGATTCTTAGCATCAATTTGCTCTACAGTAAGACTGAGCATAGTATGGGATCTACTAGACGAATTATTCATATTATGTGAAGAAACGACCTTATTTCTAATGCCGAAATGATATAATGCCAGCACATCATCAGGTGACCTACACTCAAATGTATAGAGATTTTCCACTGTAAAATGATCATGCTTGTTCCATTTCAACTTCAACCCAGGACCATCATTCGTCAGTCTTTTCAGCTGTGCTTTATTCAAAAGATCGAAGATTTTTTCTTTGTAGATTTGAAGGTATGAACAGTAAACTGTAAATTTTTTCTGTTGTAAATTTGATTGTTGCTTGATCAGTTCAAATAGTAAGTGAATAGATCTTGGTACAATACCCTCGCTCTCACCTTGCTCAATTATTGGCACTGGAACTCCCTTATCATTTTATTTGTATTTATAACCCTCCATAGTGAATGTCTTTCCTGAACCTGTTTATCCATAAGCGAAGACGGTTGCATGATAACCCTAAATATTGCTAAATTTAGTTTAAATTAGCTTAAAAAGCAAAATGAAATAACTTAGAGATAGGTATTCAAAATAAAATTGAATAATTGTCAACTTACGTCTACTACTTATTTGACAAGATCCTAAATTGCAACCTTCTCATAGACCTTCTTTTGAGAAGATTCTTAGTCCAAGACATAGTCAAATGAGGAACCTTTGTAAACATTAGTTCTATCATGCATCACACTATGTTTAGGATTAGAGTCTAATTCCCATTTTAGGAGTTGACGCTTACTTTATTGTAGAGTTATTTAGGTCAACTTCTAGCTTATTATCAGTGTGCCCTTGTCTTATTTCATCCTCAAGCAAGGGCCTGATTCTTACAGCTACTTTAATATTTGCTGCTTATATCATTTATAATAAAAATTAATATTATTTTGCACAAATTTTGATATCGATCGATTTTTGAATTTAGGGGTTTTGGGGTTTTGGGGTTTTGGGG